CGGGGTGACAGAGCGGACGAGAGAGGCCAGGGCTCCCAGCTTGGCGGCCTCTGTGGCCCCGAAGGCCCGGTACTGCACAGTATCCCCGTAGCTCACGTAGGGCTCATTGTACAGCACCATCTTCCCCTTGGCCTCAGCTGCTCGCTTCTGCAGCTCCTCAAAGGACGCCACCACCAGCACCTCGGCCTCGATACCTGCAGTGGGCTGCGTGTCAAAACAAGACCCTACAGTGTCTGTGCTTCTGACTGCTGTTTTGTGTCTCTCATGCAGAGGGTTCCTGCTGACATATTTAGGTCAGGCACACAGAGTGCATATTACTTCATTTCACGACTTCACTGGCAAAGCACGCCCTGATCACATATCCAGAGCACGCCCTGATCACACACACCCAGAGCACGCCCTGATCACACACACCCAGAGCACGCCCTGATCACACAGACCCAGAGCACGCCCTGATCACACACACCCAGAGCACGCCCTGATCACACACACCCAGAGCACGGCCACAACACACACACCCAGAGCACGCCCTGATCACACACACCCAGAGCACGCCCACAACACACACACAGCATATACATGCCCACCCCCCCCCCACCAAAACACACCCTGGACCAGGGGTGGCCAATCTTATCCGCAAAGGGCCGGTGTGTATGCAGGTTTTTGGGATAACCTGTAGGTCAGCTGTTCAAACCCAGGTGTGAGGACTCTTCAGCCAATCAGTCCTGTAATTAGTGACCTAATTAGGGAGTTGGAGCGAAAACCCGCATACTGTACACAGCGGCCCTTTGCAGATAAGATTGGCCACCCCTGCCCTGGACAATCCGCCACATCTGTGCCTTACTGAACTCCCAGGGCAGCCCAGGGACCGGTGACTTTACCTCCTTCAGGGGTCCCAACGCTGCTCCCCAAGCCCAGGATGGGCAGCGTGTGGTTCCGGGGCAGCATCACGGCGCTCTCCTCTCCGCGCACCCAGTGTGGCACCTTCACAGGCTCCAGGTGGACATTGTCCAGGCCATCCCGCCGGAGAGCGTCGTACATGTACTTTATGGCGCGCTCCAGGCTATCAGAACCGCTGACCCGGCTGCCCACGGTGTCGGTGAAGGCTGCCAGCTTATCGTAAGAGCGGTTCTGCGCCTTCCCATATACGGCCAGCTCGATTATCCTCTTGGCCACGTCCGTGTAGCCAGCCACCTCCTGTGCGATTTCCGCATTGCTCCGCATCCTCTGGGGTCTACAGTTACCTGTCGGCAATGTGAATGCCAAGCACAGGGAGAGCACCGTCGGTAGCAGAGTCCAAATCCGGACTCCCCCCAGGACTTGACTGTCAGTCATCTATGAAGGAATAAATATTGATGACATCACAGATCAAGAGAAAGCAGGTTCTAATGCAGGGTTCTTCAACTCTGGACCTCGATTCCAAATCCAGGCCGTGTTTTCAGTTCTCCCAGGTAGTTGTTTAATAATTACTGATTCTGATTGGTCAGACGCTTCACACCTGACTGACAGGCAAAGAAAGGCTGGCAAACCAGCAGTGCTCGGACCTCGAGGACCGTGATTTGAATAACCCTGTTCTAATGGATGCATAGATGGGGCAGTTTTATGTTATCCCAAACTCCATTTAACTATGACTTTAAGGTGAACTAAGTAAAAACATTTGTTCCATGCAGTCAGTGTTTCCGAAAGTTACATAATGTGTGACTCTTGCAAATTCATAAAATCTGGACATGGGTGAACCCCGGCGTATTGGGAGGGTGGGGTTTGCCAAAGCTTCATGCCAGAGGGACTGGGATCGTGCAAGGAAATCAAAATCCTAATCAGCATAAGCGGCGCGGCTGTACACGACCATGTTTACTGTCCCTGCAGTCACTGGCCCATTGCCGACGGGTGCAGTAAAAGCGTTTGTCACCAAAAACACCACACAGTTAGAATTAAATGCATAACCACTGGTGAGCAAACACAAGACCATCATTTTATTGTGGGAAGAAATAATATTCATTTTTTATAGTTTCACTTTGCGGTTACACTTACTTAGGCAAAGAAAAAAAACGAACAGAAAATACAAATTCCACTGGTGGTTGTCAAGCCTTCATGTGGGTATCCAATTAACTTAAAAGGGAGGGTACACATTTTCACTTAATTGGGAAGAAACAAATCCACACTAAGCCAGGCTTGCTGTGTGGCGATCTCCTACAAGGCTACAAGTGAAAACATTTTACCCCTAACCCACATGCCTTCTTTGAGGATCAAAAATGCAGTTTACGCGGTGAACCCTGACCGTGACAAAAAGAAACTTAGACTAATGCAAAAGTGAAATTTGAGCATACCATGAAAAAGTACACTTTTTGAGCTTTCCGATGAGCTGATACAACGTACCTGTAATAGTAAAAAAGATAAGTAAGTAAGTAAATAAATAATAATAATACAGCTGATAAGAAAATTCTCTCCTACCCGGGGAGTAGAAAAGGAAATTGGAAATAAAAACACTACAGTATGTGCAATTCACAGGCCAAATTGAATCGAAATCTGAAATTGTGATGCAAAACCCCGATTAAATCATTATGCAGATCTTACTGATTCATACAATATAGCCTTCAAATAAGTGAAATGTGATCACAAACGATGCTGTTCATCTACACAGGGTTATCACGAAAATAACAAAATCGAAACTGAACACTTACTTGAAGATGCTTTCAATTTAATTCCCTGTGTTAACGAAACAAATATATCTGTGAACAAAGTAATACCGAGCATATAGTAAAAACCGGCTGATATGACATATGAATCACACTTTATTCACGCGCCAGCTGCACCTTTGACCGAAAAAGTTAATAAATTGGACATTTTGGAGTGTGACCTGGTTGAAAGCGAACGTACGGTGGCTCACATAGGACTAAACACCTATGTTCTGTTTGTGCGTTTTTTTCCTTCTTGGTACTTTGTGTACTGTAGACAGTAAAATAAATGCATTTATTATGCAGTAAACACGATCCTTATCTGTTAAGCTACTGTTAAACTTCAAAATTTATAGCATGTTAAACTACTTGATGAAATAATTTCATCATGCTGTATTGTAGACATTGTTTTAATTAAGTTCAAATTAAACCATTGGAATCACTTCGCTCATGGGAGTTTTACTTACACAAAAATAGTCTGAAGGCAGAAGGAAAAATGATGCAGAAAAAAAGGTTCAGAGAGATAACCAATCAAATTGCAGAGGATGTGAGTCCAAGCAACTAGACGAGGCGTGACCAACCAATCAGATGTATTTGTCCTACCTCCTCTAATTGCTTGGACTCAATTCCTCTGCATTCTGATTGGCTATCTCTCTGAATCAATAATCTTTCCTTCTGCCTTCAAAACATACACTCACCTAAAGGATTATTAGGAACACCATACTAATACGGTGTTTGACCCTCTTTCGCCTTCAGAACTGCCTTAATTCTACGTGGCATTGATTCAACAAGGTGCTGAAAGCATTCTTTAGAAATGTTGGCCCATATTGATAGGATAGCATCTTGCAGTTGATGGAGATTTGTGGAATGCACATCCAGGGCACGAAGCTCCCGTTCCACCACATCCCAAAGATGCTCTATTGGGTTGAGATCTGGTGACTGTGGGGGCCATTTTAGTACAGTGAACTCATTGTCATGTTCAAGAAACCAATTTGAAATGATTCGAGCTTTGTGACATGGTGCATCATCCTGCTGGAAGTAGCCATCAGAGGATGGGTACATGGTGGTCATAAAGGGATGGACATGGTCAGAAACAATGCTCAGGTAGGCCGTGGCATTTAAACGATGCCCAATTGGCACTAAGGGGCCTAAAGTGTGCCAAGAAAACATCCCCCACACCATTACACCACCACCACTAGCCTGCACAGTGGTAACAAGGCATGATGGATCCATGTTCTCATTCTGCTTACGCCAAATTCTGACTCTACCATTTGAATGTCTCAACAGAAATCGAGACTCATCAGACCAGGCAACATTTTTCCAGTCTTCAACTGTCCAATTTTGGTGAGCTCGTGCAAATTGTAGCCTCTTTTTCCTATTTGTAGTGGAGATGAGTGGTACCCGGTGGGGTCTTCTGCTGTTGTAGCCCATCCGCCTCAAGGTTGTGCGTGTTGTGGCTTCACAAATGCTTTCCTGCATACCTCGGTTGTAACGAGTGGTTATTTCAGTCAAAGTTGCTCTTCTATCGGCCCATTCTCCTCTGACCTCTAGCATCAACAAGGCATTTTCACCCACAGGACTGCCGCATACTGGATGTTTTTCCCTTTGCACACCATTCTTTGTAAACCCCAGAAATGGTTGTGCATGAAAATCCCAGTAACTGAGCAGATTGTGAAATACTCAGACCGGCCCGTCTGGCACCAACAACCATGCCACGCTCAAAATTGCTTAAATCACCTTTCTTTCCCATTCTGACATTCAGTTTGGAGTTCAGGAGATTGTCTTGACCAGGACCACACCCCTAAATGCATTGAAGCAACTGCCATGTGATTGATTGATTAGATAATTGCATTAATGAGAAATTGAACAGGTGTTCCTAATAATCCTTTAGGTGAGTGTATTTGTGTAAGTAAAACTTCCATGAGCAATCATTTCCCCTAGATAACAAAGAAACAGGTACTAAATCACAAACAAAACCTCTCAAAGAATTCATACCTGATATTTTCAAAAACCCACTTTTATTTGACTTAAGTTGGCTTATACATGTTTAAAGTGTACGTAGATGAATCATGTTAGTGATCATTACTGAATGGTTACAGTGAATTGTTTTCTGCAGCCCTGGGTTTTGATTATAATTACAATTGGAAGTTAAATCACAGAAGCGACACGACTGAGAAATTCCAGTTAGATTGCTGGCACTAACGTGCAAGTGCAGATTCAATGTGTGGCACCCAGCTTCAAAGCTCATGAGCAATCAAAAGTCACCTTTTAAATAAATAAAATACCTTCCAAAAAGAGCAAAGCAAAAACTCCAGAATATCGAAAGCTGTTACAGGCCACAATGTTTATTCAGTAGTGTTTCAGATTACTGATACAGATACTGTCTGCTTTCAAACTTTGTCTGCCATATTTAAACAGGAACTAGCACATTTTGAGAATGGAAGGCACTTTTAAGAGCTTATGACATTTGCAAATATAGTTTTGCATGTTTTTTCTTTAAAAAAAAAAAAAAAATTAAGCATTGGAACTGAAAATAAAAATTGTTTTCATGCAAACTTACTGCAGTGTCGCATGAAAGATCCTCCATGAATCGCAAGTGCATTCCAATCAGACAGTCAGTTTGTGAGCGCATTTTAGGCTGAAACACAATGTGCTTGTCCTACGGAAATATCACGTCAACACAGTGACTATATTTTATTTAAAAAGCTTTAACAAAATTAGGTGCTACTGCACAACTTCAATGTATAGGGTTCACCTTACTGCTATAGTTAACAAAGGCAAAGTTAAAAACACACAAAGTTTAAAAAACAGTTTTACTTTGGCAACATTCGGAACAGTGAAAAGGGGAGTTTTTTAACATTTATTTGGCCATTTTAGCATAAAAACGAATCATTGTGCGGGGAGAGTCATAAAAAAGTACAAGACGTTCATACCATCTTTCTAGTTCTTAGGTTTCTTATATTAAATATCTAATATAAATGCTGAATTTTGTATTCAGCTCTGTGCAAGAATTGTATGTGATTTTAAAGCTGGAAATGGGGGGCGATACATACGTTTCTTAATATCTGAATAAACATTACACACGGCAGCCCCATGAACTACATTAAAGGCAACTGACCAGCCTGAAAACAGACGATAAAATACCTCCCAGCAATCCCAGATATACTATGGAGTCACCTACACAAAGGAACCACGGAAAGATGAATTCATACGGAAGGTTCACCGTCTCATTTAAACACCCTAAAGAGAGTTGGTTAATTTCTTTGTGATTAATATAGATTAAAATTAAGGTCTTTTCTTTTTTGCTGTTAATGTAATATATCAAACGAAATACATGGACATACAATAAGCCCTTTGATCAGAAGGAATACGGAACAGCAAATTACATTAAGAAATCATCAACCATTATTTGTTAAAAAATTATCTGTCAGCATCAAAGATTTCATGATATGCCGATGCTACGCTTTTAGTTCATGCATAAAACTCCTTGGTGGGGGCTTTCTGGTAGGCCGCCGAGGGCGCCTTCCGCTCCCCCAGCTCGTAACTGCCCTCGTCCTTCTTCCTCATGCGATAAACCAGCAGCAGCACGAGGAAGACGGCAAAGGCGAGGCCGATGACTCCACCTGTGATGACAGCTGCGAGCGCAGCGCGAGAGAGTGTGAGTGTCGCACCAAATTCACGGCTGTCCACCTCGAAGCCGACGCATTAACAGGCAGCTGAGGGTCTTTTATTCACATGAGGTGATTTGATCCTTGGGAAACTTCAGATGGGATGTTTTGTTAGTTTAAGTTTTCATAATTTTTTCCAAAGTAGAACAGGAAAGCTCTCAAAAAGCAGCATGGGATATTTTATTGAACTCCCCTGCATAAATATACAAAGTGTGTATGCTGGCTCTGCAATTGTTTGTATTGTTTTGTGTGTGTGTGTGTGTGTGTGTGTGTCTGTCTGTCTGTGTGCGTAAACACCAAACGATTGTGAATGGTATCCCTTCAGGAGCCAATCACTACAATTGCAATTAATAGAAAAATGGGAAGAACACAACTGAACGAGTGAGTAAAAAATGATGACACTTATTAAAAAGAAAATGTCTTAGTGGAAGATCACAAACTGCATTTATTTAATAAACTGCAGATTTTTTTTCAGGTTTCTTTTATAACATGGATAGAGTATGTAACAGTGTATGCCTGACATCCTATTAACTGGTTGTGTGGTGATTGCATAGTCAAATTCTAGGCTGTCCTTTAATCTTAAATGTAAATATAGTTTTGCACGTTTTTTTTTTTTCTTTTACAAACAAGTTAACTGTTTCATCCCATGAAAGAGAGCAGTATTTAATGTCCCTTGTACAAAGAATGCCTCAAATATCCTCTGGTGTTATAACTACTAGAGGAGGTTACTTTGATGAATGAAAGATATGATATTTTCTTGCCAATAAAGGTCAACATACTGTACATTTATTTGTTAGCAAAGAATATTGAGTGCATTTTAGTAAATGGCAAGTGAGTAACATGCAAGTGTAGAAAATCTAAGTGTGTGCCCAAAACTCTGACTGGTAGTGTATATGCAGATGTGTTAAACATTGCTTGTCAATGGACTTTTATTTTTATTAAACCAATAACCTTTTTATAAATTAAGCAAGTGTCCCAAGACTTTCTGTGAGCACTGCATGTCAGCTCAAAGACAATCATATTAAAATATTCCCAAGACACATTTTCAGGAATGGATTAGATTCGGAAAATGACGCCTGCATAGTGTCAACTTAATATGGGACAGATTAAGTCCTAAAATCTGATATGTGCCTTTTATAGCATCACAGGTTCTACGTACCTGCCAGGACTTCTGTTCTCTGGAAGAGGCTTTCCGAGCTAACTTTGTCTCTTTCCCCATAGAGATTAGGGCTGCTGCTTCCTGGGGCCCCATTCCTCCCGAGGGGGTTCTTTGTGGCAGGGACAGTGGTCTGAGAAGCAAAGGAAGGTGCTATGAAAGTGCCTGCATGGAAGTCGGGATTCCCCCCAGGGTCCCCCCCCCCCCTCCGCCCCCAGGACAGCCCTGGCGGACCCACCTCTGTCCTGAGAGACTTGGTGTATGTAAGCATCTCTTCCTGGGCCACGGCTGCTTTGCCAGACCTCAGGGAGGGGTCCGTCCCAGGAATTAAGAACACGGCGTGCTTGGTGACCTTTTCGATGCCTTGGTCTACAAAGATGTCTCCACAGGAGAAACAGAAAGCGGTTCACGTTTATTAATGTTTGGTTTCTGCTGTCGTTTCTGCTCAAAATAATAACTAATTATTAATAAAGTCTCTACCAAAATGCAAGGCATAAAAGTTCATGAACTGAATGGAGATCAATTAAGTTGCTGCATACACAGCATTCCACTCCTATTAAGCTTTAATCAGAGTTATACAAATCAGCTCTGGTAAGGAAAGGGTTAAGTCTACCCGAAGACTCCATGTTAAGAAATGCGGCACTATCAGTGTGCCAAGCAAAACACAGGCCAATTAACTGAGGAGTAACAGAAAGCCTTTTGCATAGGCAGGTGCGTCATTAGGCAGTGCCCGCAAAAACACGCTACCGGAGCAGGGCGGTGACCCTAGCCAGTAAGCTTTCAGGGAAGTCACATGACACTGGGTGGCATAAGCCCAAAGGGTGTCCCCGAGAGGCATGGCTGGCCCGCACATGCCCAGAGCACCGAGACACGTCCTAGACACGTGACTGAAGCATTTACATGTCTGCCAGCAGTCTTAGAGCATGAAAACATGGAGGATCCTCTTTAAGAAGGAGCCAATCGAAGAGTCGTGATGATGTAAACACACGGTCCCCAATCACAAACGATGACACATGAGGCTCTGTCACTGTGGTGGTCGACCTACAGCGTGATTATGTTATTATTGCCAGTGGGGCTCTGGCTCGATGTCATTGTACTCAGAGTGCCTCTAGGCAAGAGAACCTCAGTGATGGTTCACTGGATTGGCAGCTTTAACACATTAAATACTTGTATACAGTGTATATGTACACATGCAGAAAGATACTGTAAAAGCTGGAAGGACTGGAAGGTAGTTTTACTGCAGGATTCCACACACACACACACACACGCACACACACACACAGACAGACCTATACTCATATCTTTGTGGGGACTGTCCATTCATTTCTATGAGCAAAACCCTAATCCCAGCAATGACAACCTTAACCCCTACCCAGCCCTAACCTTAACCATAAGTAACCAAACAAAATACAAGACTTTTGGCATTTTTAGTTTTTTGATTGCAGTCACAGTTTTTTTTTTTATAAAATTGACTTTACCCTTGTGGAGACCGAAGAAATAGCCTCCATAATGTCAAAATAACAGGAAGCATCCCTCACCAGAACCTGATCCGGAACCAAAATCTTCATCATCATCGAACCGCCCATCTCCCGACTGCCAATTTTCCAGGTACCCGTCTTCCTTCAGGGCTTTCACACATATCTGCATGCAGATGGAAGAAACAACGCAGAATTATCACCACAAACATCGATCGCATGGGGCTCCGCTCCACACTCACCATCTGCCTTATTCATTATCCGTCAGCGTTTTTAAGGCTTCTGGACACCACGGATGACCAGAGACCCAACAGCCCGTGAAAAACAACATGCTTTTTCAATCTCTGAGGGCAGGAATGCTCAGCAGCAGCATCTCAGACTGGAAAACAGCTCAGCGGCAGGGCATTTACTGTCTGACCACCAGGGCGGCGACACGCCATACATTCACTGCATGAGCAACAGGGCTCAAATGGGGACATCGGAATAACAAGTCTCCTCAAACATGAACATTTTACAGATATTATTCATTTATAGAGTAGTAACGTTACATCACTCCTGCGTGTGGAAGTTTCATTTTCTCCTTTTTCTCTGGGTTCCTCAGAAGCCTCCGGGAAGTAGTGTATTTGTACGTGTGAGATCCCATGTGCCTGTGATCCGGGTCCGGGACGTTCCCTGCCTCATGCCCAGTGTCTCCTACCCAGGGGAAGCTCTTACAGAAGATGGATTATTCCGTGAGGAATGCCGACTCCTTGCCAGGACCTGATGCTGTCACGTTGTCAAAGGTAAACAAGCAGCGCCTGTTCTGCAAGGCCTGTTCCCAGTCCGTCACCAAAACACCACGTGACTGCGCACAAAACCATCAACGGGGGTCATCCCCATTCCCCAGAAAGAGCCTCCCCTTCTCTCCCTCCCTCCCTCCCTTTCAGTCTCTCCTCCCCTCTGCGTTGAGCCAGCATCACATCTTCAAGGCATCAAATAGCCCTGCAACCCCATGGAAACTACCATTCAGGGCCCCCGAGGTTGGCCCCGCCAAGGGCTGCTTTTGCCATACAGATTGGGTACGAGGCAGCTCCCACATTATATTCGGGGGGACGGGGGACTGTGGTTTTTTTCCAGCCCACTGACTTCTCCTCACCTTTTACCCAGTAAGCCTGCCTTCCTGTCTATACTGACCTCTGTCCAGATGCTTGGAAGATTCCGGAATCTGATTCAATATTCCTGTCTTTGCTTGCGAAGAAAACAGAACAAGGGAATGACTAGAGGATGTAAGAGAAAAATGTAAATTCCCAGGTGGAGGAGAGCTGAGATTGCGAAACAGCACGGGGCCAATGGTGGGACACGTTCGGAAAGGAAAGAAAGTTCAAAATGGCCGCACTCCGGCGCACGCCGGCGGCCTTTCAAATCAAGTCGCTCCTCTGGTTTCTGCAATCAAAGCAACAATTTGTTTATTGGTTTGCTGACTCCACTAAAGGCTCAGACCCGGTTTCCCGCCATTTCGGGAGTGTGCGTATCCCAGACCCTCACCCGCACTCGTGCTACTTTTCACATTCGTTAAGGAGGAAGGCTAAACAAACAGGCACAGCGCCATTTCCAGGAAAATATATCCAGCATGGTACAAATAGCAGAAAGAGAGGCTATGCCCATGAAGTACTCCAGGGGGCGCCACAGCAATCCTTAGGCATGAACTGGTGCCGCTTCCTTGCTTTAAAATATCCCTTTTCGTATCGCTGGATTCCCTGTAAGCCTTTTAAAAGCTGCCTGCCTTGCCTGATAATTGCTGGGTGTCCTTGCTCTTTGCAGTACCGATCCATCTTCCCCTTTCCCAAAGCATTAACTGAAGTACTCCACCCCCCTCCCCCGTCTCAGTACACACTACAGGAGCCGTTCGGGGACGTCTCGGCGGGCCGCTAAAATCTCAAACCCGTCAGCACTCCCTGCTGTTCCATCTCCACGCTTCCTGAGGGAAAGATAAGCTTTGAATTAATGAATAAAACAGGATGGCGAGTCATTTGGTCAAAACGAGACACACTGAGCTGTGTGCAAACACTGAGCCGCTGTCAGTGATCGACTGAAATGAAGCCATTTGAAGGCGCGACAGTGGCTGAAGTGCACTCTCAGCAAAGGCTACAGTCGGCCTAATTACAGGAAACACATCAAGGCATTTCACCCTCTTTAGACACCTAAAAGCTTTAAGGTGTATTTAAAAGAAGACTATGAGAATTCATGTATTTCATTAAACTGTTTAAGTGGCTTTGGGTCCATTAAAGGAAATCATGAGGTTTATCGCTTCCTGTGCCTACACACACACATCCCACACGCCGAACGCTCGCGTGCTCTGCACAAACACATTCTGCACTTGCCGAGTACAGACCTGCCTGCATATGGAGACGTCCCCGCTGCCCCCCCCCCCCCCACCACACTCTCTCCAGCCAGAGACACAGGACAAGGCCGCCTTTGTTGTGCAGACGGCAGGTGCTGCCTGGCCCCCAGCCAGAAAGGAAACTCTCCATCTGCTGGGATTCACCGTCTTGCCCACCCCCCGCACTCCACAGCAATCTGCAGTTCACCTGCTAGCAGCAGGGAAGGGGGGGTTTCTTCCAAAACACTTCAAAACACTTCTGGCAGCTTCACCTCAGTATTTAGGAGATCAGGAACACACTATTAATACACTAGGAAACTCCAGAGATGGGAGCAAGTCAGTGACTTAGTGACTTTCAAGTAACAACTCTTCAGTCTTACCACTCAAGTGCAAAGTCAAGTCTCGAGTCAAAAAGGTAAATCTCAAGTCACGTCTCAAGTCCTAAGCTACAAGCCCTGAAATAAGCCTGAATATAATGTTTTTTCCTAATTTAATGCCACGAGAAAGCTATATAGTATATAACTTAGTTGTGGGTTCAGGTTGTTGTGGGTTTGAGAGAGAGAGAGAGAGAGTGATAACAAAATGTGAAATCAGAAAATTCCCATAATTCCTAGCAGGAAGTTTTTCATGTTGTCCTTTAGGCATTAGAAAGGGTCTGTTATTTACTCACGGCAGAAAAAGCAAAGGTCTGTAGTTTTTTGTGCCTCTGAGTATTTGAAAGCCCTACAATGCAGTGCCACTGCAGGAAATGTGACTTCACTGTAGAACGTGCAGGAGGAGGTCAGGGAGCACGTGAAAACGCAACGTTAAACTGCCAGTTTTGTGGTACAGTTCCGATTGCCCCGAGTTGCGCTAAAAATAAATTATACTCCACACTTTTCAGTGATTAGCATCGATAACCGATAATATGGAGTAATCAATAGTGGCCATGCCCATTACGTCATCACCGCCTCCTCACACCCGCAGGTTTGGGGGTGTCTGAGCTCTGCGTTTGCAAGTTCTCACTGTGTCACATGAGATTTCCTGCCTCAGCCCAAAACAATGTGGTTAGGCTAACTGCTGCTAAATTACCCATAGCACGCGACTGCGCATGCGTGTGCATACCTCACGACGGACTGCCGTCCTATCCAGACTAGACCTCACCCTTGGGCTCTCTGCTGCCTGGGACGGGATGTACGGTACCCCTGCCAGAAGATGCACGGGCAACCATCAAACATACAGTAGTGCATTAATATTCAGAATAATAAGTGCTTTGTTAAGCTTTCCACTTAACAAAATTAAAGAATTTTATTGTTCACATGCCACAGAACCTTGACCATAGTGTTTTTTTCCGCCATGTGAACTGGCCTGTTCCCAGTTTCGACGCGTTTGCCATACTTCCAGCTGATTTGCCTTTATTATCATTCCTGAGATTCTTCCGCACCGCAAATCGGCTGTGACGACCCCCAGCTGCCCCCCGATCTCCACAAACACAGAATATTGATTGATTGCTCAGGTTTTGGCTAATTTAAGGCTCCATAAAAACAGGCCCGGAAACTCCCCTCCTTACACGAGGATTTCAGCTGGAAATCAGTTGTAAATTCCTCACTTTTCCGTTCCATCTTTTTCCTTCTCTCTCTCTCTCTCTCTCTCTCCCTCTCAAATGCTCCCCGGGGAGCTCCAGTTACCCAAAACAGTTTTGGAGAACCTCCTGGTCCATATCCAATGCCAGGAGTTACAGATTACGGTGCTCTTGCATACGAAAAACATTTACAAACATTTCTTTGGCAAACCCTGACTGACAAAAACATCCTGTAATGCTGGGCTTTAGGTTCTCCAGTGACCATTAAGAAAGGCAGCCTCTGTGCTGGGGAGCTAGAACATTCCATGACAGAGAGGCTGGAAAGCCGAACCTCTCCGTCAGCACAGAAACACTACACTCTGGCAAATGCTTTCTTCAAAACGAGCACTTCTTTTTAAAACAATGAATTTTTATGGGCAGTTTTCCGTAGAATGTAATTTAATAAAAAGTGAACTAAACACAATGTTAGAAATTAAACAGCGCACAGACCATCCGTATCCATTATAAAAATCAATCTATGCATATCAAAACAACTCTGTGGGAACAGTTTGGGGAAAGCCTTTTTCTGTTCCATCATGGCTGTGCCCCAGTGCACAGAGCAAGGTCCATATAGACATGGTCGGGTGAGTCTGGTGTGGAAGAACTTGACCGGCCCACACAGAGCCCTGACCTCAATCCCATCAAACACCTTTGGGATGAACCAAAATTTAGATTGCAAGCCAGGCCTTCACGTCCAACATCAGTGCCTGACCTCACAAATGCTCTTCTGGAAGAAAGGGCAAAACTTCCCACAGACACACCCAACTCCATAATCTTGTGGAAAACCTTCCCAGAAGAGTGGCAGCTGTTATAGCTGCAAAGGCGGGACCAACTGCATATTGGTGCCTATGGATTTAGAATGGGATGTAATACAAGTTCCTGTAGGTGCAATGGCAGGTGTCCCAATACTTCTGTCCATATAGTGTATCCAACATAGATATCTGACATACATAATCCAGGATTAATGCCACCCCTGCTAAAATGCATAATTTATTCAGAGAGAAAAAAAATCCCTCTTATCCCTCAACAGGTAATATTTAATGATTCATAAACCAGTTTTTAGGGACAGGCCAAGATCTAAGTGACATAAGCCATGCTCATACATGAAGAGTGATGTTCCATGACATCAGCCGTGACAGACGGCACCACTTCACCGGCCCTTTTGCAATCTGCGTTTTGACATTGTTCTGCTTACTGTAATCTGTGA